TCACAGTCGCGATCAGACCGGCTAACTCGTGAGCACTGGACAATCTTACAGGATTTCCCCGGACATCACAAGGACCCGCTAGGCTGGGCTGGGCTGGGCTGGGCTGGGCTGGACTGGACTCTGCTCAGGGCACTGGGAGTCTGCTGGGGAGCAAAAGGGTGCTGGAGGTCTCATTCTGAGGACACAAAAACATGGAGAGGAGCACCGTTCCTCATGAGGGTGTCTGGAGGTGGGCTACCTCCTCCCAAGGGTGGTCAGGGCAGCATCTCTGAGGGGAGGTCTGACTCTGTCAGAAAAGCCAGCTTCTTCAGGGCTAGGGAAAGAGTGTTTCTGGCTGCACAAATAGCAAGTGCAAAGGCCCTGAGGCAGGAATGAGAGGGGCTCAAAACCATGTGCCGACATGCTGGCCTAGATGCCATCCGAGAGGAGAGATGAGCCTAACTGGTAGGAACCATGAGATAGTTTCCATTTCCGGGCTTGGTGGGTTTTATAATGCCTCAGCACCGAGGTCCTCATGAGCAGGACTCCAGGGTAATGGCACGGGATGGGGGTGGGGGAGGCGGGGGAGGAGTGGGGGGGGGCGGAGAGGGAGTGGGGATGCAAAGAATCAAAATAGGAATGGAAGCTAAATTGCTTCCTGGTGTTCACCATGTGTCTGCTCTATGCCACGTGCTCTGCCTACATTGCGGCCAGGTGTGCTCTGGGAGCCAACCAGCCCCTCCCCCACCGGGCTTCCCAGTTCCCAGGGCCTAGTGCCTGGGGATTGGAACCCACCTCCAGTGGACTCTGGAGGGCAGTCCCCTTAACTGTGGCCACAGGTGGCCGACTTTTCTCTGTACCCATGGGTGTACCTGCTGGGGTACCCAGTGAGTGGCAGAGATACTGAGTCTCTGTGCCACTGGCTTCAATGGGGCCTTCAGGGTGGAGCCTATGGTCCCTGCGGGGTGAGCCCCCCCACCCCTGGTGGTCGGGGTGCTACAGAAGGTCAATGAGAATGCTGACCGCGTCCAGCGGGCACGTGCAGTGACCTTCCCTCCATTGCCAGCCTGCTCCTTATTGGCTTCACCTGTGAGAGTCTCACTTTCCTCTTCTGATTACTGCTAGCTAAAGCTCCTCAGGAGGGTCCCACTGGGTGGGGACCGGTTCTGTGCCCCCGATGCTGGGGACCCAGAGCCTCATTTGCCTGCGGCTTTCCGGTCAGCCCACCCCAACGCACCCCTGGCAGCTCCTCCTGCAGCAGCTGTCTCCTCTGGCCGGGCTCAGCACAGGTGGTCTGTCCCTCCGTCCTAGCTGGTCATTGTCGTTCACAGGAGCCTCAGTGGGCCTGGCTGGCCTCCTGACCCTGTGCCTCGCTTCCTCTCTCCAAGAGAAGTGGGAGGGAGAAAACTAGCAAGCGAAAGCTTCTGTTTGCAAAATAGAGATGAAGCTACCCCCAGCGGCCTCGGGCCGGGCTCGGCTGCTCTCTGAACTCCCCAGCCCGTCTGTGCACACAGCGGCCTCTCTAGCTGAACTTGACTTCAAGTCTTTGGATTCCTGCTAAGCAGCTGCTCTGCAGAAGCAGCCAGCGTACTGGTGGCTTGGAGTCTCTATGTTTCCCAAAAGGATGGCACGTTATCCCTCAGAGGTGAACAGATCCCTTATCTTCTCTTGTGCATTTCCTGGTGGCAGCTGCGCCAGGTTTTTCTCCCACCACACTTGCTTCCTGCGCTGCTTGCATCCAGCAGGGAAAACGCAACGCAGAACGATGAAATAATAATCGAGCTGAAGGCTCCTGCCATAGAAAGACTCTATTCAATCAGCAGAGGTTCACTATTTGCCTACCCCATAACAAAAACAAAATAGTACTAGAAAATGGAGTCCAAACTTGAAGAGATTTGGCCCTACTATTGAGGAGGTCAAAATGATAAGAGAAGACACACAGATGCCCAATCTGGCCATCCTACCAAAGAGAGGAGAGGTAGGTGGTCTTGGAGGATGAATAGGAGTTTGGGAAATAAGTGAAGAAGAATGGAGGTCAAGTGGTGAAAGAAGGAAGAAGAGGCCACTGGGAGAGCTCCAGGCCCCCTGAAAACAACACCTTTTAAGGGGGCGAGGGGGGGGTGGATTCAAGGAAGGGAAGCAAGCCTCGGCAGGGAGAGTTATAGGCAAGAGCCAATCTGTCTGAGCCCATGTAGAGAGACAGGAAGGTTTGGCTGGGAAGCCCTGGGTAGATGGGGCAGCTACAGAACCAGGCTCCCTGGCTTCCTCTCACAACTCGTTTTAATTTCTCCAAAGTTGCCCATCTAGGGAACTACGGTGGGCGATTTAGAGGAATTTGAGGTCTGTATTCAGCAGGTGCTGAGTAACTGTGTGTGGTCTTGTGGCAGTGTCCATTTCCCATCATCCACCTTCACACCTCGGCTTCACCTCCTCCCTGTCCCACAGGCAGGAGAGCTGTTAAACCCGTCAGTTGGATCCTGTTGAGTCTCTGCCTAAAAGTTCTTTAGGGCAGAAGGGAGCTCTTGCCAGGCCCCCAAATTCTGTGGCTCTGTGGTTCTCCCTGGTCTCCTTTTAGACTTTCCTGCTGGCCCTAGGCTGTGGCAGGGCCTGAGCTCTCAGCCTCTTCCCCCCGGCCCTCAGTCTCCCTTGGGTCCTCAGTCCCCTCCTGGGTCCTTGTCTTGGGAAATCACCCCCAGAGCCTCGGCCCACCTCGCGCAGCCCTGTCTTCTTCCTGCCCCCTGAGTGCATGCTCGGGAGCAGGTGTTCGAGAGACTCTGGACACCTTCATGTCCCTCCACAGATCTGTGTGGATGGGTGTGTGACCCCATTCCTACCTTTGGCGGCCATCCAAGTCCTCTGGTCTTCCTGCGCTCTGTACATGTACGTGGCTGCGGTCCTGAGCTGTGCTTGCACTTCCAGCCTAGGAGTGGCCTCTGTAGCCTATGATGGACTTAGGCCCTTAGGGAGGCCGGATGCACCTTGCAAGGATTATACACCTGGAAACAGCAGATATAGTGACCTGAAGCATATTCTACCTGACTACTGGAGGTCCCCTAGGTGGGACCTCCTGTGGGACAAAGGGTGCCTAGCCCAGGCCGTTGTCATGGATGGTGCCCTGGAATCACTCAGAAGGCCCACAGTGGCCTCTGGCTCTGCAGTTGCTGCCGTGGAATTCTTCACCACAGCTGAGCAGGCAACAGCATCTTCATTCAGCTCTGGGCCTGCTCCTTACACAGACCACCCGGGACACGGTGAGGACCTGTAAGAGACGGCATGACAGCCACGTGCCCCAGCCTGCCACCCGGAGACCCCGCTGTCATCGTTCCAGTTCTGCTCAGCCACAACCACGGGCAGTAATTCATTCTTCTGTTCGCACGCTTCATTGGCTGAGTGCGGTGGTCAGAGGCATTGATGGACTGTACCGGCCTTCCACAGCAGCTTGGACCACACAGGATTCCCTGCCCTGGGCTTGTGAGAAGCAGACTTCTGGGCTGCACCCCAACAGGCCACTGAACGGGGCTCCCCGGAGCCATGCTTGTGTACCTGTGTTGTTGGCTAGTCCCAGGGACCCAGTGCCTCTGTGCCATGAGAGGAAGGACAGAATTGGGGAACCTCCACCCCAGGGAACAAAACCCAAAGCACTTTGCTGTGCATTTGGAGTCTGTTTCCATCTGGCCTTGGTTTACCTTTGTAGCGTCATAGCCTGTCTGTGCCCTGGACCCACAGCAAAGCACGGTTTTGCCTAACTTCCTGGGGGGATCCTTCTAGAATCTCTCCCATCCCAGAACATGGTAGCGGCAGGGCTCCTCCTCCCTCCTCTTCCTCCTCTTCCTCCTCCTCCTCCTCCTCCTCCTTCTCTTCTTCCTCAGTTTTTTTTGGTTGCTACAGGGACTTGAATTCAGAGACTCATGCCCTCACTTACATATTCATTCAAGACGGGCACTCCACCTCTTGAACCACAGCTTCACTTCTGGCTTTCTTGCTGATTGCCTACCAGGGAAGGTTTCCAACCACGATCCATAGATCTCCCCTTCCTGAGTAACTAGGATTCCAGATGTGACCGGCTGGCACCCGGCCAGCCCCTCCTCCCATGCTCACTGCCCCCTCTGCACCGAGGCCGCAGCTGACAGAGGTCTCACATGGTGACTCTGCTGGGAAGCCCCATCCTGAGCTGGCTCGGGACTGGTTGGGCCTGCAGGCCTGTGGCCCACAGATGCGGCCTCAGTGGTTTCCTTGCCCTGCAAGGCTTCTGCCCATGGGGTCATCACAGCTTTGAACCCTCCCTCCCAGGAGTCTGTTCACGCTGCAGGCTATTGGAGTGTGTCCACGTGTGTCATGAAAAGGGCATGGTGACTTTGGCAGCTCTCCTGTGATCTGGAAGTATCTAGGTGTGGCCCAAGCATGGGCTACTGGACATTTCAAACCCCTCCCCCTCCACTCCTTCCCCCTGCCCCCTCCGGATGGGGTGGCCACTGCTGACCACATGCTCCTGTATGATCTGTTAAAGGCAGTGTGGACCCATGGAAGCTACTTACTGAGCTCTCTCCAGGGGGCACTGCTGCTCAGAACAGGGTGCTACCTGGGCTCATCTGGCAATAAAACCCAGCACCTCTGTTCCAAGGGGCCACTGTACCTTGGTCCTCAGCAGCCCTGCTGGCAGGCGTGGGGGTCGTGGGGTGGCTTCTGTTCAGAGCTAGGCATTTTGATGCCAGTGTGTGGAGGCCTGGCCCTGCGTGTCCACCTCTCTGGTGCCCGTTGGACACACTGTGAGGCCTTGGAGACCCTTTCTTCCTCCCGAATGTTCCCTCCAGCATGGAGGTGGGTTGGCTGCTAGTGTGTGGAGGCCTCAGGATGTCTTAGGAGGCCGAGGCTAGGGGACAAGAGGGTGGGCCGTCCAGCAGTGCCCACCCTCCCTGCCTGGTGCTGCACTTTAGCTACCGATGGCGTTGGGGTGCTGTCTGAGTCCTGGGGACTATTCCTGGCACAGTGCTTATAACCACTTTTGTCTCTGTCTCTCTCAGGCACATCTCTCTAACGCTGCCTGCCACCTTCCGAGGTAGGAACAGCACCCGCACGGACTACGAGTACCAGCACTCTAACTTGTATGCCATTTCAGGTATGTGGGGTCTCCGCTGCGGCTGCCTGCCTGGCCCGCGTCTCCTGTGTCACCTTTTTCTGCTGTCTGTCTCCTGACTCTCAGCCCTGCAGGGACCCCCTTATGTCACCGCCTAATAGTCATGTTTCAAAACCAACCATGAAAAACAATGTGTGGGTTTCTCCAGCTCGAAGGGAAGTTCTCAGAGAATCCTCACCCCATTGCTCACGGGCCAGACCCTGGCGGGTCTCCGTGGGATCCACGGGCTCTCAGAGCAGTGCCGAGCTAAGCTAGGCTTCCTCACTTGCCCACCCAGATCCAAGTCCCCTGGCCTCTTGATTGTTTGTAGTCAGCTTATGGTCAGGCTGTCTGCGTCTCACACACCCGGAGTTCGAGTCTGCCATGTCGGAACTCAGCCTTGAAACTGATAAAGTTCACTTGGCAGGAACTTCATCGGCCCTCACTGCCGATGAAGGAGCCTTCTCAAGGAGCGAGGGGAACCTTAGCAGCCTGATTACAGAATTGAGATTCATTAGGTCCAGGCAGGACAGGTGACTTGCTAAGACATGGGGAAACTCACAAATTCGCCTCTGATTATCTTGGACCACCGGGCAGAGGTGTTTGCGAGGGGAAGTGGTAAATCAGTGCCACTTACCACTGTGCACCCCTAATGCTGAGTGACGTTCCGAACAGGGGAACATGGCATTCATTCATGTACCATAATGAATCGGTTATTTAAAAGGTAATCTCTTTTTTTTTTTTCCTTTTTTCTAAAAATTGCAACTTCGGGTTACTAAATAGATGAACTAGAACAATGGCATAATTCTTGTCAGTATTACTTTCTCTCGTTCTGATCAGTCCCTAATAGGTTTAGAAGTCTAAGCCAAATCTAGTTGGTTCCATTTCTGGGCAACACTCCTGCTGGGAAGAAAGACCCGGGAGGTGCTCCTCCTCCCCCCACACCACCACTGCCCACCCCCGTAGCTGGCTGTACTCCAGGAGCCTGGCTCTCCAGGGCCCAGGGAGCAGTTTGTCTAAGAAAAGGGCCTCTTGGGAGAGCTGCTTCTGTGCGCTGGCTATTTCAGGAGAGCATAACAAGTGTGGAAAGATGACCGCTTTCGTAGAAAAGCTGACGATTTCCCCAGATGTCTGCTGGCAGAGTAGCACGTAATAGGCCCATGAGATCCTGCCTGGCCACCCTTGTCAGATAGTGAGCAAAGACAGCGCTGTCACACAAGGCGACTTTTCCCTTGCAGCTGGAAAACCTCTCTCTGGTGCCGTGTTGGCCACCACCATCCCTGTGCTCTCTGATGGCTTTCCCAGCTGTTTGGTGGGTTGTTGGGATTTTTTTTTTTTTTTTTGTAGTAAAGGCCCCCACAGAGTGAAATCTCCTCCGGTCTGGTGGGAACGTTGCTGTCTGATTTTCTCCCACTGTGTTCTCACCCTGCCATGTTGATGAGGTGTTGTCTGGGTTCATTTCAGCTGCTAGTTGAGTAATAGCAAGGTACCAGCCTCAGGACACAGAGGAAGTCATTCAGGAACTTCCTCCTGCATTTCTGTAAGTGATACTCGCTGGGATTTTAGCTTGCAGAAGGAGTTGAAGCTCAGGGTCCATACCAACCAACTTAGGCCTCCTCAGCCACTGCAGGCACCAAATTGCTCTTCTAGCATCCAGAGTGCTCTATAGCTGCTGCCAGAACCGCTGTGCCCCCTGTGCGCCCTCCCCACCCCCCAGGACTCTCTGGCTCCATCAGGCCTGCAAGCTCAGCACTGGGCAATCAGGGTGTAAACTGGGAAGCCTGCCCACCCCTCACTGGCAGCCTGCCCCTGCCTCATTCTGGCGAGAAGAGAACAGAGACCACCCTGCCACCCCCTCATAAACCACAGCTGGTGCCAAGTAGCCCATCTCAGCCTGGTCCTGCAAAATGAGGGTTTCCAGTTGTTAATTCCAAAAACTGTTAAGGGGAAGCGTACCCCAGGTCCCAGCACCCACTCTAGTGCCCGTACCTCCATAGTTGGAGCTCTGCTATAATGAAATGAGTCATCAACCTGTGCTCCTCCTAAGCCAGCCCTGGCCCACATCTGCAGCACAGTTCAGCCACTAGCCTTTGCTGAACATTCTGGCATGTTCTATATGGTCCCTGAGGTCCTCTGATTCCTTGCTAAGATAAGTAGACTTCAAAACAATGTAATTAGAAGTTTGCAAGGCAGCCCATACTAATGCATACTCCTGGTTACTTTTAAATGTTATCCCTGTGGTGTGCCTGCTTACAGTCCCTTTACCTGGACTTTGAACAAAAGCAGTTCACTATACCACATTATACCACACCTGCAGATGGAGAGCCCCAGCCCAGAGGTGCCAGGGCAGCAGCAGAGACCATACACATTCTGTCTCTGGCACAAGGGCCCTCATAGAGCCTTCATAAAGAAATGAAAGCATGAGCCAGATGCTAGCGTCTCATACCTGTAATGTTAGCTACTCAGGAGGCTGAGATCTGAGGATCACAGTTCAAAGCCAGCCCAGGCAGGAAGGTTCATGGAGCTGTAAGACTCTTATCTTCAGTTAACCAGCAAAAGGCTGAAAGTGGAGTTGTGGCTCAAATGGTAGAGCATCAGCCTTAAATGAAAAAGCTGAAGGTGAGCACCCAGGCCTTGAGTTCACACACACACACACACACACACACACACACACACACACACACACACACACACAGAAGAGGGAAGTATGTGGCCCAGCATACTCCCAGGGCAGCTGGTCTCCCTGATTGGCTGCTTGAACACCTTCCTGCTCTGGAGGTGCCTGTCCTTCTGGCCCAGTTTATGTCTATGGCGTCCATCCTCATTGACCTAGGCCCCGCCTTGCTTCAACCTGGGGTACTCTGCATCCCATCATCCAGATGGGCTGGATCTACACAATCCAGTAAATATTTCTCTCTTGCTCACAGAAGTAGGGTGAGGAACTTTTGCTGGCCTGATGCTAAGTCCCCGAGGCACGTGCCCCTTGATGTGCCCTGCTCTGCCACCTTGTGCCCCAGTCACAATGGCTGTGCAGCAAATCTTCACTCTCATACTTCCTCTTTGGGGAATCTGTTCTAGCAAAATATTTACAGGTGTGCAAAAAGATTTGCCCACGAGGACAAAGCACTTGCTTTAAAAAAAAAAATTCCAAAGCAGCATTGGCAAGTTAGGTATATCTTAAATGCCTCCTAAACAAGGAAAAAAAATCCAACCAGTGGCCTTAACTTTACAGCTATTAAAGAAAAGAGAGAGATTTAGCTAGAACGGAGTATGTGAATATTGCTAAGCAGGAGGGATGCTCAGCGCGGTCTCATTTAAAAACTTTGTCTGAAGTTCTGCAGGTGTCCACGCTGGCTTGCTGACTTTCTAGACTTCTCTCCTCTCCTTTTTCCTGGCCTCCTTGCCATTTCTTCTTTTCTTACCGTAGCATGGGTTGCTTGTGTGATGAGAAAAACACAAATCTGCCATTCATGCAGCGTGCTCTCGACTCTCAGTAAAGCCCACTACCCCAGCGACCACCCAGGGGGTTCTCTTGAGTGTTCATAAGCTTCTTGGGTCATAAAACATTTTACCAGTTAGAATTTTACGGATTTAGGTCACTTCTAGACCACAAATCGATGATTTGCTTGTCCCATTTTGAGAATATAGCCTCTTCTCATCCAGTCCCTGAAGCCCCCTCCACTCCACTTGAGCTCTCCCAACATCCATGGTTCCAGATTCTTCCATCACAGCCTCACTGCCCTTTCCCCCCAGCCTCCAGCCAGGACCCAGCAGTCACTCCCTCACCCACCACCTTCGCTCCTCAAGCTCCCATCACCCAGAGAGTCTTTGATAAGTAGTTGGGAAAAAAGTAAAAGAATACTGTTCATTGACATGTGAAAATGACATGAGCTCTTAAAGTTTTATTGGAACTCAGCCACTCACGTTCCTTAGCAGGTTGCTCACAGCTGCTTTCACAGGTTAGTAACAGAGACGCGTGACAGACGCAGACACCTGATGGCCTGCAAAGCCTGCAGTGCCTATCCTCTGGCCCTTCCACAGCACGCTTGCCCACTCCGGCCTCTGTTCTCAGCAGAAACACTCTTGCTTTTTTCCTTTCTTTCTTTTTTTGTGACCATAATTTTGCCTCCTGTACTTCCTCTGGATGTGTGGAGGCTCATGTCTCCTTCCCGTGTGAGTCTCACTGTCTTGCGGGCATTTGAACATACTGGGGGAGACATGGCCTCTGTGGAGGCCCCAGGTGCTGTAGAAGGCCTGGCCCCCATGAAGACCATGGGGATTTCTCCAGATTTCACCCTCAGAGCCCTCCCTCCCCCAGAACTCTACTTGGCTGGAGATTTTCTTTTTAAGCATGTCTTATGTGTACTATATATTCTTCTATCTTAGCATTTTGATCCCAGACTGCCTCACCCCTCCTCACATTTTCCCGTAAAATTCTCTTTTACATGATCGGATATCTGAGCATTCATTAGATTCTATTTCTCCTGCTCTGGGAGAGTTCCAGGAAGCCTCCCCAAATACCTGTAATGAGATGAACATGGGGTAAGAAGACAGAGCAGGTTAAGACTAGGGTAGGAATCAAGTGTGGCTGTATCCAGGAGCCTCTGGGTTTGGTTCCCAGTCAGAGGCAATCTCCAGATGGATGAAAATAAACCAGTTGCCAGGAAAGAAGTTAACACTTTCACTCTTTGAGCCCAGAGAGTAGCCTTCCCTCGAAAAGCCATCCATGATGGATGAAGGCTCCCATGGATTCCTTGAAAGCCGCACAGAGCGAGTGAAGCATCTCTATGGACCAGAGGTGTGCTTCTGGTTTCAGAGAGATTTGTTTCTTTACTTCTGCCCTCTTCTGCATTATATCCACGTGAATAACTGCCTCATCCATACCTATGAAAACTAATGTACGAGCTAGGTGCCAGTGGCTCACATCTGTAATCCCGGCTACTCAGGAAGCTGAGATCTGAGGACCATGCTTCAAAGCGAACCCAGATAGACACATCCAAGAG